GCGCCTGTGCGCCCGGGGTGTGGGGGTGCCGGGAGCCGTTATCCGTGCGGCGAAGGGGAGGCAGAGAGGGAAATTTTAGTCGTAATCCTGCGGAGATTAGGGAGGGAGCGGGTGAGAGCCCGCGTGGTGGGGCGCGACGGGCTCCGGCTGGCCGAGGGTCGCTCCAGCTTCGCTTCAGACAAGCGGCGTTAAAGTTGGCTGGTTCCCGCCCGACGGGGAAGCGCTGCCTCTCCTCGGGCTGGAGGGGGGTCGGTCCGGAGCGGGCGCACCCGCGGCGGGGGGGTCCCCGGCTCCTTTTGTGTGCGAGCGTCAGCCCCGCGGCTGCAGCGCTCCTCTGCCCAGCTTCTGCTCTTAAAGTTTTAAAAACCAAAAAAAAAAACAAACTGGCCCGGAAGTATTTGTAAACTCAAAGGCTGACTCTGCTAAGTTGCTACTAAATGTATCGGTGTATTTGGGTCAACTTCTATATAAAACCCCACTGGCTTTAGGGCAGGGTTAAACCAAGCATGTGCTGTTCTCTGGGTCACTTGGTTTAACTCCTCCAAGTAGTAAAATCGGCTAGCGGGCAGTGAGGAGGGGCTGTGTGGATAGAGCTGCCTTGGCTGGTGTGTGCCTGCACACGGAATACCTGTGTTCAGGGAAATGTGACTGCGAGCTTCACTTGGGGCAAGCTGGAGCAATTTTGTGCTGGTCCTTTGTTGCGCTGTGAAGTGACCTGCTGACTGGACCTACTCTTGGTTTATGTGTTGAGCTGAAGCATGTCTTCGTTCTTAAACTGAACTTAAGTATTGGACTACTGATGATGATGGATAAACTGGTGTAGTGTGACTTCCTACGGAGCAGCAAGGTGAGGAATGAGGTGCTTTCCTTCAAGACAGCTTAGCTACTGCTGCAGGTTGCCAAATACCCGGGATTTAGTATGTGGCTGTGTGTTAAAGGTCACCGGTGGTTCTTCGGTGAAAAAATGATCTTATGAGACAAAGGTGTGGAAGTATTAGGCATATTTTGGTACATACACAGAAGAAACTGCTAGCTTTATAAGCTGTGAGAGCAGAATGCTGTACACTGTTACTACTATTTCCCCTCTCAGCCGAAGAGATTGCTCCTTATTGTGGTGTAAAGAATGTGTGAATGTTGTGGTTTGAATGTTTGTGTGGTTTGCCTTGATTATAATCTGCAACAGGACTCCAGGCACCTCTGCAAGGTGTACAGAGGGGTGGCCAGGCTCCACAGCAGCGTGCTGGCTTGCAGCCCTCCGTGCTGCTTCACCCCGTGCCACGGGTGTTTCTCAGGGGATAAGATGAAGTCCTGCCTGGGAAAATGTCTGCTTCTAAAAGATAGTAAAGGCTTATGCTGGCACCATTCCACTTTGAGGCTTCCTTCTACCAAGCTACAAAAGAATTGTTCTCAAGTTCTTACATATGAGGGAGCTCTACTAAATATTGTACAGCTTGGTACCATCTTATTATGTATATAAAGCATCAGCTACTGTGTCAACATCTGTCTAAGTGAAAGGCATTTTAGGCAGAGATGTCATGCACCTTTCTCCACCTTACTCTGGAATGGGGGAGGAAACACTACAGCCACGCTGAGTCCCCTTTTTTCTAACTGGAAATACCAACTTAGCTGGGTGCCGCAGCTGGCTTTCGCATTTGTAATAGTATTTGAGGAAGTCTGGAATTCTGCTATTTTCAGCAGTTCTTTGTCAAAAACAAAACAAAAAAATTGCTCAGTTGTTCTCTTCCAGCTGAAAAGAAGCCACCATGGGTGGAAGAAGATAATAAAGTCACTTGCTGCTGTGCTTCACCATCCAGCAGGCAGCTCTAATGTGGAAAGTGCTGGATGAGTTTGTACTAGCCTGGATGAGAAGCAGGAGTTGGGGGCTTTGATTCAGGGCTTTATGTATATTTAATATATAAACTCAATTTCTGATTTCCAACCATCTGGCTGTATTCTGTCAACTAAGCCTCTGCTACAAATAGTAGAATAAAAGTTAAGCATATGGAAAATCCCTCAGCTACATAGTGGATGATTCTAAATAAAATGGAAACATATAGTTAATATCACTGCCTCTCTTCCTCGCTCTGTGTGTGTGGTGATGTGTATTCCTCATGGGAGCCCTCACAGTCTTCAAGCTCAGCTAATATGTAGTGGTAGCTTTGCATGCTCTGTGTACACTACTTCTTGTTAGGAAGTCACCATTTCTCTGAAATGCTACCAGAGTTACAGCAGAGAAATTCAGGTGCCATCACTGGTTCGTATCCTTCCATTTCATGTTCCCTTCCATGCCCTCCTTCTGCTGGTACAGTGCCAGCTGGTCTATCTCAAGTTTATAATTAACTCTCTGCCTTCTAGGGTTTGGGTTCATCTGTGAATTGCTGTATGGGCTGCAGCAAAAGGGGGTGCACAGGCCAGCTGGACTCTGCAGGGAGCTGCAGGCTGTTGAGCTTCCGTGCTGTTGGCACTGCTGTCAGTGTGTCACGGGATGCTTTGTGAAATGCGGTAGCCTGTATTCAGGTGTGCAATAATTGAAGACTTTTAATATGTAATTGGGATGGCTAAAGTGATTATTAGCTAGATACATTGCTTAATTGCATTGGCAGCTCCAGCCTCTGAGTTTGTAGGAACTGCACTACGCTTGGCTAGCAAAACTCGTGTTCTTCCCTGGTGTTAACCAGTGAATGGCTACAGGTCTGCCTCTTGCCGTGGATTGGGGTTTCGAAATGATGAAGCTGCAGTTTAGTGAGTCACTGGTCTTCGGCTGAGATCTGTTTCCTAATATGTGCTTTTAGCCAGATGCAAATACAAAGTGGAGGAGGTAGCCTGGGCCACTGTAGAGGCTGGAGTGGTATGATGGATGTTTAAGGAGCAGGCATGTTCTGTAGTTGTGTGGTTTCTTTCCGGTTTTCTCTACAAGATGGTTGAACATATCTGTTCATAATTTGAGTGGAATGCATGAGGTGACTTTAAAAACTTGTCTGATTTTTTAGTTCTAAAGCCCTGTGAGAATGCATCTCTTTTATATGGCCCAACTGCCCAGTGGTAACACCTGGAAAACTTATGCCTTTATCAGTGCTAATTGTCCATCTGTACCTGTGTGCACTGAGTAACTACCTTTCACTGCCTTTTCTGGTTTTCTTTTCAGGAGTTATAGCTGGAGTTCCTCTTGCTCTGAGAAGCAGAATGACTGTCTCGCAGCTCTGTTTTGAGGAGAGGGCCTAGAAGGTCTGCCACTGCGCTTTCCCCAAGGTATGAAAGGTTTCTAGGGCAGGTATGAGTTATCAGCTCTCTGTCTTCCACAGCTTCCCATGGGTATAATAGTCACTGGCTCTCTTTCTCAAGCTTCCCTCAACCAGACAAGTACAGGGCAGTAAACCTGTGGTAATCAGGTATTGCAGCTGCTAGGGAGCAACAGATTTGTCCAAGCAGCATGGTTAAGGCTGTTGAACCTCAGCTTGTGCCATCCTGTTGTTCTGGTGCTGGTGACTTCATTTCTGGGCTGTGGGTGATTCTAGACCAAGTGATCTGTCCTGAGACTTCCTCCTGTGGAGGTCCCTGACCCCTTCCTCCTGAGGTGCAGGAATTCCTGGTTTAGCAGGCGGGGCCAGGACAGGGAGAAAGATCACAGCTAAATACATCTGACGAGGCTTCTCTTGCTATATTTGCACTTACTCGGAAGGTTCCTGTACAGCCTAGGTATCGCACTTGCATAATCATATTACAGCGTTGCGTTACAAGGTGCCCCATGCCTCTTGGCTCGGGTATCTGATACGTGATAGCTGCCTGGCCTTCCTGGGTGTTTGCTTGTCCCCACTCTGCTCCCTTCAGTTTGAGTTGGATGCTCTGCTGATGCATTCTTTCTGAGTGGACTGGCTTTTAGTACCAGTAACACTCCTAGAGGTTCAGCAAGTCTTGAACATTGCTCCTTGGGTAACGTGATCCTCTGCAGAGTAACTGTGCGATTGCGAGACCTTTCTTCTACAAACATTCCCTGTTCTCAGGTACTCAAACTTTTAAAAAGCCTTTTCCCCTCTCCCTTGCTTAGATCTTACTGTGTAATGTCATTTTTCTGAGGGAGAATCTATTGCCGTTTGCCTTTTAATTAATTTTTCACTTCCATTTTTGGGCTTAAAATGTCAGGGATAAGTTGTCTTAATGCTCTGACTGTTGAGTTCAGTGCTACACTGCGTCATGTTGCCGAGGGCTGTGTCTGCTTAGCAGTGGAATTTGAGTGGGGTGGAATCAGCAGAGTGTCTCAAACCAGCCGTCCAGTCCTTTGTGTTTCTGATGTTCGTTGATGGTATTAATAGGAGGGATATAAAGGAACCTAGAGGAATTGCAGAAAGCAGCCTAATAAGCTTTTTAATGGTTTATGTACTTCCTTGAGATGCTGGTTATTGATGCATATTTGAAGGTTAAAACCCCAGCAAGAGTCTGAGGGAGGAATCCTGATGAGAACAGTGAGAGGTGGCTAGGAGAAATGAAATGCTGAGAACTGAATTGTTCCCATTGCATGCAGTTATTTCCTTAGTTCAGCTGGAAGCAGTGGGCATCCAGTCAGTGGGATGTGATTGCTAGCTTAGTGTCAGGCATGTTCTTTAAGCATGCTGTTTCCTTTTCCTTTATTTTAGTGGGTTGAAACGACTGAATTCTACTTCATGCACAAAAGCATTTAAAACACCAAGCTATGGGACACTGTAGAAGCTTTCAAAAGGGGGATTTTGCATAATGATTACAAATGTAATGCAGAAAAGGGGGTTAGAGGGCAGATTCACCCTTTAAGTTTTGCAAGGCTACTTCTCCAGTGTACAGTCAATTCTGGCTCTACATCTGTCTTGTGCTTTAATTATCATGAGTTTTGTGGGAGTAATAAGTTGAATTTACTGCAGTAGTGTTGAGAGGCAGCAAAGGACACTACTGTGTGCAGGATGCAGCACTGGGCTGGGACTGCAGAGACCTGCCTTTTGTTCTGTCTCTGCCACTGACTTGCTAAGTGATGCTGGGCAAGATATTCTACCTAATATGTCTCCTGCTCTCTATTTGTGAGAAGAGTCTGTTTGTGAAAATTGCTAGAATGTATTGCACTATTTGGTGTAAGGGATCTAAAATGTTCCAATTTCTTTCTATTACAGGTGTGTAGTAAAAATGGTGCAGAAATACCAGTCCCCAGTTCGAGTCTACAAATATCCTTTTGAGCTCGTCATGGCAGTGAGTAATACTCAGCACTTTTACTTCTCCAGCTGCTAAGGGCTGCAACCTTAGGCCAGTGGGAGGTGGGGGACTGCGGTTTTGGTTAGTGTGTCTTTGTGGCAACCTTACGAGTACGTTGCAGGAACAGAGGTTTAGCTCTCATTATCTTTTTGTTCTTTCTTCAATTTTCCATGAAAAATTAGAATCAGCATATCAGTATTTTAAGAGAGTTAATTAGTCATTAGAGGGGGGAAAACCCCAACTGCCTGTAATTACTCCTTCACAAGGAAGGAAAAAATTGTGACATTCAGATAGGCAGGGTCAGTTTGTGGCCAGACACCATCTTTGACTTATCCCCAAATGTCATTCAGTTTAGAATCTCTCCAGATATGATCCCAATCAGTATTGTAGGATGTCTGTATCTAGAACTTGATTCTAAATCATACTGAGATTTTTGATTTGGTTAAAAGGTAAAAATCTTTAGAAAAATTCTTCCATGTTGTTCTTCCCTGCTCACTCTGTGATTGCACTGTTGGGAGATCTCTTCAAATTTTGTGATTTCCACAAGGAGCTTGAGGGCTGTAGTTGAAGTTCTTTTGCTGGTGATGCAGAAAGTGAATTGGACCATGGCAGCTTATTTAAGTAGAGTTTAAAGACACTTGTGATATTCTGGAGTTTGTCACTGTTCTTCAAGGTGTGAGTCAAATATCCTTCTGAAAGGTTTGCTGTTTGCATTTCAAGGGCAGCACTGAACATTTGGGCATTTATCTGAGATGCTTGGTTATAGACTCTTGCAAGGCTTTGTTTTGTAATCTGTTGGGCATTTCAGTCTACTTAGGGATCCCCAAAACTTAGTATCTGCCACTTTTAGTCTACTGCTTTCTCTGTTGTCTCTCTTTCCTGCTGAACAAGGACACCAGTTTTCTTTAGTCTATTGAAGACCAAGAATGAAGATGGAAAGCTATAGCCATTTCAGGTAGCTGATATCATTCCCATGAATGGAAGGGAGAGCCTGACATAATACATGGCATTCCTCTTGCCTCTTCTAGATTCCTGGGAAATAAGTGTCATAAGATTTGTTCTGTCCAAAACTGCTTCCAGTCTTCTATTTCCATAGTTAAAACTGAAGGAGAGATTCTTTGTTTGGTCCTAAGTGTGAAAAATGAACCCCAAAAGGTAGCAGCAGTTACTTAGCTGAAAGTGGTTGCTATTCACTTTGATGCTCTCCGATCATCAAAAGGAACAATTGGTTTTGGACAGTTGGACTTCCTCCCAAATTTGTCCCCTCACCCCCTTTTTTTTTCCCAGTCTTATCCAGATTTGCCATGTCTGTTAACAGCTAAGCCAGTAGCACGCTGCAGAAGTGCCCCAACCAGTTTGGTGCTGATGTTTGTGGCAGTGAAACTTTTCTGGCCATGTTCTTTGTTCTCTCAGTGCATCCTGTATTAGTTATTCTAATACTTGTTATGTAGTACAAGTATTCTAGTACTTGTTATAAAGATACCGGTGTTTTTTGCTCTACGCATACCTCTCCACATTCCTGTTGTCTATATTAGCAGGATAAACCTAACACCAGATGCCTGTCAGTAGATCAGCTGCTAATATAGGAGGGCTGCCTTGAGACAAATCCTTTGTAAGCTTGTTAGCAGAATGCCTAAAGGCCAGGGTTTGATGGGTTTATTTTTCAAGTGGTTTAGTCTTATTTGCTTTCAGTTTTTCAACATAACAGGGCTTAAAATTCCCTGGGATTTCAGTGCTGAGATTGTAAATGTCATCCTTTAGTAGTTCAGCAAACTCCAGTTCCCCTTACCTTAGCAAAGTTATTAGTCCTCTTTCTTATGAAGCTCAAGTTACTTGCCCCGGGTCACTCAAAGGACTGTGTAGTGGAGTAGGGAGCTGAATATAGACCTCTTAGTCCCACTCTGTCCTGTGAAAATCATATGTTCACAGCAGGATCTGCTTTATTATGAAGACTGGCATTATAAAGTAGTGTTTCAATCTAGTGGCAGTCCATGCAGGCAGAGTTGGATGCAGGCTTTGTTATCGCATTTGATATGTTCAGATGGAGTCTTCAGTTTGTGTGGAGGCAGTGCAGATTTCACAGAGCTGTCAGGTGCTAGCTGTCAGTTGCTGGAAGTTTTGCAGGGAGAGTGGGCGTACAGTGAAGCTGTTTTGCTCCTCAGCACGTGGCATTGCTGTTAATCTGCTTCAACATAAATCTGACAGCAGCTTCCTCAGCACTGGGAACCTGATATTCAGCTGCTTTCATCTTTTCCCCTCAGACGCTTTGTGCGAACCTTTGGAGTGCCAAGGTCTCATACAGTGGTAAATGGTAGGAAAGCAGAGGTCATGTGGGTGACCTCAAGACACTTCCTTATTTTATGGGTCTCTATGCACCCTTCAGCCTGATACACTTCCGCTTCATTCCTCGTCTGTGTAATGGGGAGGGTCATACTTTTGTGGTCTGCTCAGGCTATGTCATGAGGTAAGTAATGTTTGCTAGGAGACGTATTTTTCCCCCAGAACCTCGGATGTTTGGACACCACTATAGAAAACAGTGCGTGTGCTTCATTCAGATATGAGGATCTGAGAAACAGGGTTGTCTTAGCCAAATGAGGCAAACGATTCATTGCTTCCTGGCCTTGTTCAAGCACGCAGTGTTTCCCATGCCTTTTGTTGAGCCCTGCCGTCAGGAACACAATTTATCTTTCTTGGACTTGTAGAGAGTGCATGCATGTGCGGCTCATCCTCTAGACAGCACATGGGTGTGCTTGACAGATGAGCCAGTGCTTTTACTGTTAATACCTTTGTTATTGTGTGTGTCTGGATAATTGTCTATAGATTTACACTCTGCTGCTTACTAATTCTTTTGCAGCTTGCATTCTGGCATTTGCAGGCAGTAGATTTGACATATCTTCCAAGCCCTTGGAAGGAAAACCACATTCTCCTTGCTCTCTTTGCTGGTCCTGTGCATCTGAGGAAGTAAAAAGGAATCAGCTTACCAAGTTTCTTCTGGTCATTCAGGAGTTCTGAATTTTTTTCTTGTTAAAGGAGTCCTCTCTTCTAAAAAGATTTAAACAAAGGACTGTCTTTCCACACCTGTCCATATTCACAGTAGTCATTTTCACCTGCTTTGTTCCTAATCTGCACTCGAATTAAAGGATCAGAAATGTTATGCTCTTCAAATTATAACCAGTGCCTGACATCTTTATCCCCTACACTTGAAAAGAACCTTGATGTTTGTTATGCTTTGTGATCTTGTCATGTTCTTTCTTCCCATTTTATCTTTTTTTTTTTGTGTCTCCTTTTAAATTGAGCTGTTCCCTCATATGGGTTGTCCCTGCCTCTCTGGGCCTGATCCTGTTTTCAATAGATCAGCAGGCTTGAGATTGCATATGTCGCTTGATTTTATTTTACAGCCAAGAAAATCCCCAAGTATAAACATACTTCTTGTTTTCTTTGTGTGGTGGTTGTAGTTTTAAAGCTAGAAGTTGCTTTCTTACTGAAATGTTATAATGAGGGGAGAAATCCAGAAGGAGAGGTAATTCTGCCACATAGCTCATGAATGTTGACTTACTCTGTAAATTGTTGTGAGCCTTCTCTGATGTATGGAGATTAGAATTTGATTTGGGTGAGCAAGTCCAAAATGCATAGCTGTACAGGAAACGGAGCTAAGAGAGGGATTGCATATTTAATATTATTTGTTGCTAATGTAGGCTAGATGAGATAGTTTTAGCTTTGAAAGTAGTAGGGTGTTTTGTTCCTATTAATTTTAGTAGTGTACTCAGCCCTTCACGCTTGTAACTGACATCTGCCATTTTCACATACTTTATAGTATACACTAAGTTTGCTTAGGATGGTTTCTAAAGCTACAGGGCTGAAATAACCCCCCAGGGACTCTTACCTGGTCTTCCATACTTGATGTATAGTTTGAGTTGCTGCAGTAGTGGTGTAAACTAGAAACTTACTGACAGCACTTCTGACAATTGTTTGGTCCTCTCGCCACGTTTACAATGCGCTTCGTGTTCAGCTCTCGTTGGTAATAATAGCAATTTATGGTTTCTGCTGCAAGCCAGGGGTCTTTCTGCACAGCCTGGTGCCAAGGGAATAGTGAAGGATGCAGATCCTGAAAAGGGGAATGTTCTACTTGCAGGTTTTACACCTTGAACCAAATGAAACTTTTATCACTTTACTATGTGGGATTCTATTTTTTTTATGAAATGAAAGCTTTGTAAAACACTACACTAGTAGGTTAAGTCTGGGTTTAGTTAAAAGCTAAAAAGCTGTATGCATATGTGAAAATACATATTTAAGCTTACTGCATACAGGGTATCAGCTTTATAGTTGCATCATTTGAGAAGCTTACTACTGCTATCTAAAAATGCCATGGTTTTGAAAAGACAGAACAAAGGCCAAGCATTTGGAAGCTTGCAGTAGCATCAGCTCTTGTGTGTACCAGTTGTACTCCATGCTCAAGTGCAAACGGCTCTTGAGCCCCACACGTGTACAATGTGAGTCAATGCTTCTTTCTGCTTGACCTCATTTCTTGGTGCTGCCCACGGCATGTGTTGACACATATATGAGCAGCTGAGAGCCTGATCTCTTGAAAATGCATGCATGGAGAGCAGTGGTGTGTGTTTCTCACTGCACTGGTTGAGTAGTACTTTTCAGTCTAGGGTACTTCTGCTATGTGCAAGATGAGTTTGGGATGGGGGGTGGTTGTTCTGTGGGTGCATGTGTGGTATACAGGCATTTCTTATCTCGAGCATCACTCAGACTCTAATAGATCTGCTGGGTGGCAGCTCATGATTCCCTTGCCTGTGTCTGCAAGTGAAAACTCGGTCATCTGCAGTCCTGGCCTGCAACCCTTACTTCCAAGCAGCTCTGTGACTCTCTTGTAGCATTAACAGCAATTCAGTGTTCTTTGCATTTAGTTGGTCCAGAGTTTTTTATTTTTCAGGTAAGATAAATCAGGAAATTAATGGTGTATACTTCTGCATCTTCTCAGTATGGTTTGA